TACCCTTCTTTTTTTCTTTGTACAGTCAGTCTTGATAGGTAGGGGTGGCCTTCTCTCCCTAGCCAACCCCCTGGGTGGGTCTTCATCCCCATCCTCAGTTGCCTGGCCCTTGACTTCCAGAGTCGCATATCTGTTACGCAAAGGCAGCTGGGAAGGTGAGGGAGCCCGGGAGGGGATTCTCCTCCTGCCCCGAGCAGAGACCTTTTTCCATTCCCATAGCATTATTATGGGTAACTGTAATTTCTGCATATATATACTTTACATATATAAACTTACTCATCCTACATTAACAACCAGATAAAAAGAAAAAAACAAAGATACTCCCCTTCCCATCCTTTCACACTTATGTACATAGGCCACCATGATAATAACACTGCTTTTTATACATTTCAAAGACACCTAGTACTCGTGAAGTAAAAAGGTCAACTACAGAGCTGTTGGCAAGTTACAGAAGTGAATTACGTTGGCAGGACAATGGGATATGCAGAATGATGACTGCAACAAGGATAATCATAGGCTTCAAAGAAATCCCTTCTCACAGGTGAGGCAGGATATGGAACTTTAATGTAACTTTGCAAAACATAAATTCAACAAAATGAGACAACTTACATGGGTAGAAAAGTGCATAATGGTTGCACAGAAGCTACTAAATACCAGTAGCAAGTCTATAGATATTGAACAAGACACCGAATCAACCTCATCACACCCTTGGTTACACCAACCTGAAGCTGTATTGAAATAAAAATTGGATCCCTAATAGAAAGGATATTCACATGTGGTTAAAAACGTGTCACAGGTAGCTTGTGATCTGAAGCTAGCTTACTGCTGAGCATCTTGTACTTCACCACATACTTATTTGATGGCTGATTACAGGACAAAGTTGTTTCCAGCTGCACACTCCAGAGCACTTGCAGTTCTCCAAAATGCTCAGTGTTTACAACTCCAGCATAAAATTGAACAGTCTGTCAGGCCTGGTGGGGGTAGGGGAGAGGCCAGGAATTAAAGTGAAGAGCCGGTGGGGCAGAGAGGTTTTTGGCTAACTTATGACGAAGCTCGCCGAGACGCACCGAAGGGGCTGTGTCTCCAGCAGCTGGAGGAAGCGCCTGTACCCATTTTTCAAGTCCCGTGGCTGCGGTGCCAGCCCCGGGCCCGTCAGTAAACAGCAGCGCACGGGCAGGACTCGTCCCCACCTAAAAACGAAACTCAGGGAAAACGCGTGTCGCAACCTGCCCTGAAGGACGCTGCTCCTCCGGGGACAGACAAACTTTCTGGCCTTCCGCTTTCTTCTCGGCTGGAACCGCCACGTCTTCCCCGAGG